CGCAAAGGGAAAGCTACATTATCAGCGAGTAACCTAGCCTACTTTTAACCGTGATAGTGGGCCACGTGCAAAAGATAGTACATAATATTTTTATTCATAGAATTAGTGACGTGGTCCTTGCGTAAGCTGTGTAAGAGCTGTTTTTTATTTTTGGAACGAAGTTTCTTATCGCGCGTTGTGAAAGGGGGCTAGACGGAAAAATTCTCACGAAAAGTTGTAACGACACTTTTATGTCAGTCATTCATCGCCATCTATCGAATAGATAGGAAATCAGTACTTTTCATCTCAGTATTTATTTTGAATTGTCACTTGTCAGTCATTCAGCGCCATCTATCGAATAGATAGGAAATCATTTCTCAAGGAGATTTTACCAATGTATAAATTGTTTTAATTAGAAAACCAACTGAAAAATATGTAGGTAATAGCCGCTTTCTTAGATGGCGTTGTAATTAAAATCGTGTCGAATCAGTCTTACTCGATCGTCACAACTTCGTTCCTATCGGGTGTCCCACGACACCACACTTTCGTTTATTTATTAGGTTAAATCACAGCATAGGTTCTGATATACGAGTACATACCACTTACGAGCTAACACAGCATTCACAGTTTAGACAACATATTAACAAAATCACATTGATATATAGGTATTACAAACTTACATTAACTCTATTGGTCTGGTGAGTTTAGTGGTTGCAGTAACGATCAGTACATACTTATCAGTTTTTATTGCGAGGTTTGCCAAATGATTCCCATATTTTTACACCAAACTGGTTCTCTCTGTCATGATACACATCAGTATCAGGCACAGTCTTGAGGAACGAATTCAAATCCCAACACATTCTACTCAGAGGTGCGATTGTAGGTAAGTATATATTATAAATAGTTCAGGAATCGAGTCTCGCAGTTTTTTCCGAGCTTTTCCCAAAAATACAGTTTTCAAATCCTGTATTATTGTGTTTTATGATTAAATTGTACCTCGAAGATTGATTACGATTACGATTATTGACGTACTTTAATAAAGACTATATTTTTTATGATTTAATTGCTAATGTATAGTTTCAGATTTCTTCTGTACTTTTAGTATAAGATGATGTTACTTGCCAAATTTCAAAGTTTTAGGTCAACGGGTACTCTATAAATTTTGATTGCCTTTCGCTTTTTGCATAAACGGCAAAATATTTTTTTACGTTAACTTGGAATTTTGATTTTATCACGGGTTCAAGGTACTGTAGATCTGAATATATGGTTTTAATTTCAACGCAGTACCTCCACGCATGGCCGAGATGAAGGGTGTTGACAGACGAACAGACAGACACACAAACAACAAAGTGATCCTATAAGGACTAATTTTTTTCCTTTTTAGGTAAGAAATCCTAAAAACGATCGTCAGTATATTGGGCGTGAGGTGACATCGTTTACATTCATAAGCTCCCCCTGGGAAAAGAAAATATTAAGGGAGTGCTACTGTCGAATGTTTGTCAAAGTGAGTACTTTCAATACATCGTTGAAATTAATGTCGCGTACAGGCACAATATATCTGTCTACAGCGTTGACTGACGCAACTGAATGTTACGGAGCTTTTAATGAACAAACTTTCAATTGGAAAAGTTGACACGTCACGTATAATATTTACGATTGAATTAGACCCACTTAAGTCTTAAGAACGCTGACATCTATAGAGTATTGACTTTTAATAATAAACAAAAAATTTCAGAAACAATTAAGAATTATTCCTGAGGTATTTATGTTTAGAAGGAAAGTTTAGTGAAGTTTAGGGTCTTAAAGCAAATTCAATTATTATTTTAAAGTCTAAATACGCATTGACGTGAATTAAGATATTACATTTTAATTTTCATAAATGTAGGCAATATGATATAAAGCGTGAGAGTGTACATCGATTTAATTAAGGGGATGATGAAGCATCGTGAGCAGAACAGAACAGTGATTGAACATTCCACAAGTTTGTAGACACTTAGGTTGACAACAATCCATTACTTGAGGCTTGGAGTTGCGTTACAAAAAGTTGGCAACTCCTCGCGGCCGTAACGAACCTGTCTCTTCTACATGTCTGCGTAGACATGCTAACATTGAATTCAATTCTCAATTAAAGTTTGACGCTCATTGTTTTCACTTGTGTTGCTGTTGACAGTGATGTACTACGATACGATATTGAATACCAGTTACTTACATTTCGATATTAGACTTGTAAGAAAGTACAATGTATTAGGGAATCAAACCCTATGTGAAGTAGGACAACTGCGTATTCGGTTTGGCAAAAGTTCGGGTTTTCGGTTCATATGTGTCTTTAATATTAGTCACTGTCTTTGTTAATAATGTTTATGTTCTCCATCAGTCGCCCTTTAAAGTAAAACTGTTTCTTATTTTCTTAGGTACATAATCCATTAAATATACAATAAAAATTTAATGTTCGTTTATTCATTATCGCCGATCACCTAAAGTTAGTACAAATTCTTTTGATTTTTTTTACGTGAATCTTTTTATTTAAGTTAGGAGACTCATTGTGTATAAAATCTGTGTTTTGTTTGTTAGTGTCATATAAGTTTACGCGAGCGAAGCCAGATGCAAACGTCAGTGAAACATGCTTTATTCTAACACTAGTAACATTTCTGAAAACTGATAATGTCAATAGTATAGCGAACCGAGTTCAAATCAATTCACTTAGTATTAATTGCTCTACCCTTTGTTGTTTACGGGATACAATTCGCTGTAACTTAAACCACCTATAAACGTTACGCCAATCCATTCAGCCGCCGTTACTTGTTAGGGGATCATTAGAACGACTATCAGGCACACATTAGTCGTGGCAATAAACCTTGCCGTAGACTGTGCCATAAGTTAGGTGCGTCTTATGCCTGCGCCTGTTAGCGGCCTCGTATATCTGGCGAACAATACCGCACCCGTAGTCGCGTAAATACCCGCTTGTGCCGACGACTGCCGGCTATTGCCGAGCCTCTAGGACCGACCATATTGAACCATTAAGGCTGTACCAAGATTGGTTAATAGGTTGATTGATGGTTTGTTTTGTGTACGGTGATAGATTATTGTAGATCAATGATTAGAGAAATAGCAGACGTGATGTGAGATTCCCAACTACTAACGTGTCACGTTCCAAGAGTTGAATTAATTCGGTCATCACTATATTTTTCAACAAGCACTATTGCATTATATTTTGATAGTTCTGCTTGGCACGGGGATGGGATGATAAAGGATTGAAAAAAGTGAAAATTTTGAGTTTAGCTTTTAAAACAGTTAAATTTGGAAATTATTAAATCAAACCTTTTTTTTATAATTTAATACTTCTTTAAAACAAACGTATGGTACAAACCATTGAAGTTCAGATGATACAAGGTACATCATGAAACTGAATAGACAACGTCACAACATAATATGAGTAGGCACAATGTTACTTCTACACTTGCATAGTAGAGCAGGCATTCAGGATTCAGGCATCTCTGTGGCACTGGTCATAGGTTTGATTCCCACTCAATGTTATATTTATAGGTTTGAACCTGCAGTGAACAATGTATTATTAGATTGTATATGTCTCTATTGTGCTTATAGGTATACATCTTGCAATATCCCATTAAACCGCAAGACAGCGCCACCTGCCACACCGCGCATGAAACAATCAACTTATTGCAGCAACGATTTCAAGAACACATTATCTCACGAAATTCTGATCTCAACTGGCCACCAAGATCCTGCGATTTAACGCAGTGCGATTTTTTTCGTTGGTGTTTTGCGAAGTCTCGGATTTATGCGAATAAACCAGAAACAATTTCTGAGCTCAAATCAGAGATCCAACGCGTCATCGGTGAGATACAGCCACATCTCTGTGTAAAAGTCATGGAAAATTTCATGAAAAGAGTAATGGCCTATCATCAGAGCCGTGGGGGCCATTTGTCGGATATTTGATTCCATACTTAATCGGAACATTTTTCCTTTACAATCCAATAAAAATATCACTAATCTTTCATAATATACGTGTTTTTATTTTAAAATGAAAAAGTGCATTCTTACTGAGACACCCTTTATAATTATAGCTTATCTACAGAGATACAAGACAAAAGGAAGAAACAAGTCTAAAACGGGTGACAATATTAAAAAGGTTATATTTTGCGTGGTCATGGTTGTTCAATTTGTGTAATGTGTCAATTTCGTTTAGTACATTTATATATTTAAAAACATATTGCTCACTAACCAAATGTTACATTTCTATTTTAATATTGTGGCATGAAAACCAAACCCATGCGTTTTTGCTAACTTTTCGTTGTATGTCACTTGTATTATTTAAAATGAAACACATTTTCGTTTCATCTATGTTTATACGAATGAAACAAGGTTGTATAGCTAACTTCTGTTTCGGATTGGTTCAGGTTTCATAAGCCATTTTCGAAAAAAATGTGACGAGCCCCAGTGTAGGTATTTTGTTAGAAATAAAATGAAAAATAAAATCTAAGAATCACACATTTTCACGTTGTTATTAGTTTCAACAAGGTTTTTTGCGACAGCTTTGCAGAGACGTTTAAAAAATAAATTGGATCTACACTTACTGTAGTTGACTTTCAAACTTTGTATAATAATCATTCGAATGTGAGTTTGCTTGTGAAGTTTTTGCGCGTTAACTACGCAATCGATATTATGAAACTGGACGATGTCAGCAGTAAAGAAAATATCATCATAGGACGTCCACGATTAGACGAAGGATTTTTGGAACGAAGTTCCTTATCGCGCGTTGTGAAAGGGGGCTAGACGGAAAAAAATCTCACGAAAAGTTGTAACGACACTTTTTATTTTGAATTGTCACTTGTCAGTCATTCAGCGCCATCTATCGAATAGATAGGAAATCATTACTGATTATTTTTGTTTTTATCACAAAAAAGTAGTACTGTTCCTGAAAGAGTAGGATAAAAAATCTACTGTAATAAAAATAAAGAACAATTGAGGAAGAAATTGAGATAACTCTTTGTGTATCTTACCTACGACAGTGAGGTTGTATCTGAAGCTGGTCGTCTGCGTGTTCCTGAAATCGACCCTGCAGCGGTAGACGCCCTCGTCGCGTCGCTTTACGTCACGCACCAGGAGTGACGCGGGGGGCGGAGAGGTGGAGAAATGCGCCCGCGGACCAAACACTTCTGGCGCCGACCAGTGCCTTGCCTCGGATAAGTGCTTCCCGCGGACATCAAAGCTGCAACAAGAAAAGAAAAGGTTTTAACACCATGTGACATTCAAGAAGAGTATTTTGCAATGATTTTCGTCGATAATAATTATATTTCAAGCATTAGTATCCATGTGCGATGATTACTTAACCAAATGTCTATATCTCTATTTGATTGATTAGTCACACTAGACGTTTGTGGCCATTACCTAAATTAATTTAATCACTTTATTGACGGTTACAGTATAAGTTGTTTATTATAAATCATGATTTAACAGAATATTAAATTTGACATGAAATTTTAGCAGCTGACAGTTTTTATGTTAAAACACCCACCAATCAACGACTTTTGGAAATTTTACCTCTAAGGGGGTAAAATATGGTATGAACGGTTGTATGGAAGTTCGTAATTTTCAAAGTTAGAAACTCAAAATAAGATACATCAAGTTTGTGAAATTATCCGTAAAACTTTAAAATAATACCAAATGTATGATTTTTGTGACACTGTGTAACTGTTGACCTTTTAGTCCAAAATTTTAACCTACAGATAAATAAAACGTTTGTTAACTCCATAAAAACATTGAATTTAAATACGTTACAAATATCAACGACGCGTAAAGATATGAAAACAAAAGCGGCCATATTTCACAATGTCTGTTTTATATTTTTTGTTACAACATTTGACAGCTGTAGGTACAGTCGCAGACACAAATCCCAACACAACAAAGTTATAATTAATAACATTCAACATCATAACAATGAAATCAAAAAGCGGTAACGATAAAAAAAGATTGGTACGAGTACTGTCAGTGGCGCGTACAATGGCCATCAATAAAGTGTGGGAGACATGTCTCCTCATAGTATCTCTCGTCACTACGTGCTGAGATAACACGTGATATATTGATGCTGACGACTAACTTGGTGCCGAGTGAAAGGTCCGATGAAGGCCACTGTGACAAACTCAAGTTGTTCGAGACGAACTCCCGTTACAACGTTACACATGAAAGACTTTCACAGATTTACTTTACACATTAGTAGCATGAAAATAGGCACATCTGATACATTATGTATATGATAAGTGAAGTACTTATTATTTTTGAGTTAATTGTTTTAATTTGAATAATTCCGTGGGCACTGATATTATTTCCCCCTTAAGTATTGTTGTTGCAGTTCTTTAGCGCTATCGAATAAGCCCTTTATTAACTTGTAATTTGTACCATCTACGGCTTATTTAAAAAAATATGACTGCTATCTGACATAGGTCGAGGTCGTCTGGAGTCACAAAACGTCTCAAAATAATCACTTAAGTCTTATAGAGTCGGGTAGGGTCGGCTCACTAGACAGTTAAAGGATTAACAGACACAAGATCAATTGCTACCCTCCATTAAAAAAGGCCTTAAATAATTTTAAGCAATTATCTTGCTCTAGGAAAAGTTGGTTTATTTGCAATAAAACTTTCAAGAATTTTGAACGTTTTGCTGAGTTGCACAGCTGGTTTGCTGCTGCTGCTGAGCTGGATGCGAGAAGCCCAAAATCGATCTAAGTGGCGTGCAATGGGAGAGGCCTCTGTCCAGCAGTGGACTGCGATAGGCTGATGATGATGATGATGATGACAGCTGGTTTATCTGTTTAATGAGAAGTGTTAACAGTACCCCTTTTTAAACATTAACGAATACATACGAATAATACAGTTTCTAGATATTTATGTGTCCTTCCCCTTCCTGTTTTCCTCTGAAAGATCCGATGGTTGACTGGTAGTGAATGCCTTAGGCATTAAGTGCGCCAATGACCCAAATATGCGTGATATGCAAAAAATAAAATTATTCACATATTTTAATTCTTGGTACAGAATACTTATTTTATGTTAGTTTAATTTTAATATATGTAATTAGTAAAAAATATTCAATGTAAATCATTTATGTAGATGAGTGTATCTCAGTTTGTAATACAAAGGGATATGTTATAACATATTATTATACAAAATACACCAGTTATACGAATTCTAGTTTATAAATACTTGTGCGCTTCAATCTGCTTAAAAACTTTGTTATGTTTACTTTGTTACGTTACCGTTTGTTTTACCAAGCGGTACAAGTTTTCATTTGTAATCATTATTTTCTTTATTTAATTTAATGCATATATTATAATAATGACATTTTCAAACATAATAAAAAAACACATATATCCTCCTCACTATACGGACCCCGTCTAGGAGAATTGCCTTCTGCATCAGACCCTTGATACAGGCGTCTAATGTGAGCCTTTAAAGTTTTTTTTGTTTAGTTTAATTATTATTAAAAAACGTAGACATAAATCCAAAACATTATGTGAATAATGCCCATTATTTTTGTATGAATAATCAAATTATTCGTGAATATCAATGTGTAAATGTGAGCTCAATAACTGTACCGTCGCTCACGTCACAAATATTGAGGATAGTAACAGCTAATTTCAACGTCGACAATTCGATGCACAAACATTGGATATCAGTCCATTATTATGTTGGATTATCGTTGATAGAATCGTACGGAGGGTTTATTAAATTATAAAACAGTAATTTTCTGGGACAATGCACAGAATTTCTAAAAACAAATTTACCATAGTTAGTTTACATATTGTTAAGTGGATGTAAATATATGTAATAGAAAATATTCTTTCTGAAAATAGAAATGCTCAGGCACACAGGCACGGAGTTCCTTTCTTCTATTCCCAGCCAGGATAAAGATTGTGTGATGATTAGATCATTTGTTCTGTGTCCGACGACCGACGATGCGCTATAGAGCGGGCGGCTTGTTTAAATATCCTCAAAAAAAATTGAAACATTTATTTTTACTCTTCTCACGCAGATAACGGTGGGCCGGTCTATTAACATATTCTAGTTTATATTCTATTAGGCTCTTTTTCTTATTTATCTACCTTACTCTACCCAAGAGAATTGACACGAGGGACTTTTACTTAATCACACTCGATTGTATATCAGTTTTCTCGCGGTATCTTAGTCTTGATGACTATTACGATGTGCCAATACTTTATTTTTGTAGAATTTATGCTCATGGGCGCCATTAACACAGGTTTTACCTACCGCAGACACCAGTCTCTCACAAAGCAATGTTGTACCCAATCTGACTGATCTGTATTTATAAGTTCTTTGTGATGAGAGAAATAAATAAATATTATTATTATTATTATTATTAGCTCTATTTAGCCGAACCAGACCTGATAAAAGAAGAATCTTTCGACTATAACTGTTTAACCTATCATGGCGTTTCATGGACAAGGAAGCGGTGCATATTTTTTATTTAGGAAAACTGATGAAATAGTCCGAACTGCTAGAAAATTCGCTTAAACGAGGCAAGAATTATGATATACGAGACTACGTTCCTCTACATCTCTTTCATTAGTATTCACTGTTCAGTAGAATATATCAAGGTTTGTTATCATCATCAGCCCATCATCATTCACCATTGAACATTGAATGATGATAATAAATGTCACAGTCCTCGATCGCCATCGCTCCTCAATGAGGTCAATCTGATCTAGATATAGTTTGGATATGTGGTAGGTATTTATAATCACAAACCATTAGAAGTCAGTATGTCTGCTGTGTACTCACAGATATATTTGGAACAATTATCATCTATCATTCAGTTGAATATGGAAGCGTGCGGCAGGCGATGCGGTTAGCGGCCCGACGGCAACCGCAGCCTGCCGCTGACAAAAATGTTCCGCACTACCCTTTTGTGACCGTAAACAAAAATACCTTCAATATGCTTTTGTTTCTGTTTATAGGTCTTACTGAATTATTAAAACACAAACTCAAATAACTTTATTTCATAAAAAAAAATTGATATCGTCTCTTGTGTAGACTCTAAAGTCATAGAACACCACACGCTATATCAACAATCTCTGTTTTGTCAAATATTTAGCAATCTAAATATATACGTATCGAAAATCTATTATATACCTGTGCCGATCTACAATCGCCCATTTCCAAGGGGTTTGAGCCTCATGAGAAAAAGGGCAAACAAACTCACGGCCACTCTTTTCAATCAACAGATAAAAATGGCATCATTAAAAATACAACATTGTATTGATGTGTGCCAGTATGTAAGTTTTAAGGACTAAAAGGTAAAAAGTCAATTAAGAGAAAACAAGTTGCAGAATAAATATGGAATAAAAAAAAAAAATAGTTTTATAAAACTAAAAAACACGCTTTCTATAGAAAACCAAACTAAAAAATATATAGTAAATTTGAAAAAAAGCGTTGGGTGCCTGTTGTCAATAGTAAAAAGCACCCCACGCTTTTTTTCAAATTTATTTTCGTGTGTGTTTTTTAGTTTTTTAAAACTATATTTTTTTAATATTTTTTTTAAATTAGTGTATTGTCATCGGTCCTCAATATATCTACAAAGTTTGAACGAATTCTGACCGTTTAAAGTCAGTCAAAATCACGCCTAAAGGAGTCGGTTACAAACATACAAACAAAAACATACAAGTGAAGCTAATATAAAGCGTGTAAAAAGAAAGTGAAGTAAAACATGAAAAAAAAATGAAAATTAAATAAAAGGCCTGTGCTAAATTAATCCCAAGCATTCTTGTCTTCTAGATAATCCACAATTGAGTAATGGGCTTTCTGACATAGTTTACGTTTTATTGTGGATTTAAATTTATTTATACTAAAATCGTGTATACTATTTGGGATTTTATTTTAGAATCAGACACATTGACCTTGAAATGACATGTTTATCTTTTGGAGACTAAAGGCAGGTACTAAAAGTTTATTTCTATTTCTGAAAATTAAAGAATGTACATCACTTTTTTCAAGCAATCATCACATCAACAGCCTATAATAGTCCACTGCTGTACATAAGCCTCTACTTAGAAAGGCGGTTTTGGCCTACTACACCACGCTGGCCAGACGGGTTAGGATAGGATTTATGTCAAGTTTTCCTTCTCTTTGCAGTGCTGTTGTCCTGCGTAGTTTGCTCCCTTAGTCGGCTCTTACGACACCCACGGGACGAATAGGGGTGGACACACTGTATTCTTAATCCGTCACCACACGGACACGGTTTTTATGAACATATATTACATTTTCATATATATATTGACTTGCCACTGTCATTATGTTGATTTATTTAAATTTTTACATCAATGAACAACGATTGCCCAAATTATAAATTGCTCGAATCGCTCTCTTTTGCAGCACACAAATAGTTTGAACGTCGGCAGCATGCCCCTACAGTAGAATACCGTACGACATAATGCTATGAAAATAACTAAAGTAAACAAGTCGTGTTGTATCAATATCAGTAAATTCTCGAATTTTTCTAACGGTTATTCCTAAAAATGTCGTTGTATCCACAAGGTATAGCTCGACCTCCCTAATCATAACAGCGGTTTTCACTGGCTTGACGTTTGGCGTGGTGAACAGTATACACTTAGTTTTATTTTTATTTATTTTTTTAAATTTAAAAGCAAATTGTTAACCTCAAACCAATGAATCACATTGTGAAATTAGTAAGTGTGAGTTTGAGTTTAAATAATGATAATAATAATAATTGTTATTTATACAGATAGAGTCCACTGTATTAGTGTACAGATTTTCTTAACCTATGTTAGTAGTCTACAGAGTTACTATTACTATTTGTTGTTTATTTTAATTTAGTAAAGTTCTGACCAGGCTTTTCATTACAGTCGAGTCATATTTGTTGGCTATGATTCTTAGGATGCTGTTGTTACTGTTCCGCAATCTTCTTAGCCAAAAGACGCTCTCGTATGATGGCATGGAAGCCATCAACTCTCGTTTCCATAAACATGGTAGAAACATTACAGTAGCGGGACATCCTCAATTGCATTCTAAGGGTATTATTATACTGAATGCGTAATGTGTCAAGACACGTCTGGGTACAGCTGAGCCATAGGCTGCTCGTGCAGAAGGTTTGACAATACGCTTTAAATAATGTTATTTTTTCCAACAACACAGGCCAACACAGTTCCTTATTCCAATGCGAATGTGTGGCAATAACTTACGCCGCCACAACGGCCATGTCAAGGAGTGTCAAGGACCGTAACATCCGAATACTATCCGACAGCATGGCCGTCCTAAAGGCACTGGAGGGCACCACAATGACCTCTGGTATTGTCTTCGAATGCCATCAAGCATTGGAGCAGCTTGCCACATTAAATGTGGTACTCCTTTAATGGATTAAAAGGCACAGTAACTCACACGGGAACGATGCTGCAGATGAGTTGGCAAGGAGGGGCTCGGCAACCACAGCTACCGGCCCAACCATTCTCCTGCCAATACCGTTTAACCAATTACGATTCTGGGCCAGGCAATGGACTCGTGACGCACATTACCGGAGGTCAAAAAACTCACCCGGCTGCAGACACCACGACTCACTTGCAGATTGATCAGTCTTAGCAGACTTTTGTCGGAACTATAACAGGACACCTAGCCCTGAACTGACAACTAGTCATCATCAATGCGACGGACAGCCCTCTGTGCAGGGGATGTCTGGAAGCAGAAGAAACGGCCGCCCACGTAATACTGGAATGCGAGGGAGTGGCCACACAACGGGCAAGTATCATTTCCGATACAAAATCGCTCCTAGAAGCCTGTGAACGCCCCAGGAGCCTTCTTCGCTTCTGGAAGGAGCTTGGTTGGCTCACCTAGCTAACTAGTCCTCGACGCATAAAGGACCACTCTTGAGTCTAAATGCGGAAACCGAAGCCCACAATCAATACCAATACCAATAATGTTATTTTGACTTCATCACTATAACGAGCAAACCTACGGGTCAGCATATTACCCCTAATCGCCATTGCCCTACGCTCACGTTCAATATCCTTTTGATTGTCAAGACATTCCGTAAGGTAGTGCCCATGATATTTAAATTCGTGAATCCTCTGCAGTTGAACTTCATTTAGTTTTACAGGTGGCACTCTTGATGGACAAGATGGAAAAAATAATGACGTATCATTTGCAAACAACACAATCTCGTGATTATCCTTGACAAGGTGAGGTAAGTCGTTAATATATACTAAAAACAAAAATGGGCTGAGAATAGGACCTTGTGGAACGCCCATTCATTCCAATATG